CTGACAGGCTAGTCGAACAGAGTCCAGCACAGCAAAACGCGGCGCAGTCCGCTGGGGTAGCGCCCATCCAGGCCCGATCAACACTAGTCCCATGCAGCTACTCCGTTCAAACTCCGACGGCCCCTGCGCAACGCGCGTCGAACCGATCGGATCAATGAAGTGCGAACCGGCCCCGGCAACGCCGGGGCCAGCTCGGCCGAACGATCTAGTTCGCGCAGCCAGGCGCGGGCAACTCAGCCGATTCCAACGCTGCGGAGCGCGCCGTAGCGCACCCCGCAGATGAGCCAAGAGTGCCGCATGCCGAAGCCAGCCAACTCAATCACACGGAACGAAATCCTCATAGTGCTGAGGAAACCCATCCACCCCAGCGTGCCCAACAACATCAGCCTAACCCACATAGACTCGGCGCAAGCGCATGTTGCGCAATGGCGAACCAGGGATTGCGTTCATCACGCCCACCGCGGTCTCGTGCCAGCCCCGCCCCGCCCGCCTGCGATGTGCTGAGTCAAGGCGCGCGTCGAACTTGCGCCGCCCAAATCGGCGCCGCCTCGCGGGCGAGTGGAGGCCTGGTCTGCGGCGCGGGGAGCGGCCTCCTTCCAAGAACCGCCACTGGATACGCGCGCGCTCTTGCGGCGTTGCACGCGCGGCGGAGTACGCCCCATGATAAGTGACATGCGGGCGCGGGCGCGCGCGCCAGCCAGTCGGCGCCAGACGGAGCAGACCCTCCCATTATTGTTCTACAGTCGCCAACGTGGACCTGCCATTCTCATTCATTGCAGCAAATTCCCCACCCGCGCGGGGAATGCGTCGCCTGGGCGCGGGTGATCTATTTGCGACAGCGTCGCCGCGAAGGCGAGGGCGCGAATCTCAACGGACCTTGAGGCAAACATATGGACGTTCGAAATTTGGCCCGCGGCCCCCGGGCAAGGTTCGTAGCCGGGGCGCCGAGACCTGACCAGCGCAGAGAGACATTGCCCATTGAAGTTCTCGCCTGGACAGGAAATCTTTCAAGCCCAAACTTAACTGGTTGCAGCAGCACTGCCATCATAATAGAGGTAGCAGCCGAGCATCCAGCTAAAATCCCGCGGGAAGAAACGAATGGCTCCGAAAGCGAGCCGCAGGCGTCAATCCTCCGAGGGGCTAGGTAAGGGTCTGGATGACCATCCACCCAAAGCGAAGCGGGAAACCAACCTGTCTAAAAATCTGAAACAGGGCCGAACACTTTATCATTTCGTAACAGTTAACCACGTCAAGCATGAGGGCTACCGAGTGCCAGCCTCTGGCTCTGGCTACCTCGGCCGAAAGGTTCAAATCGAACGCTGAGTCCGACGCGCCTCCACCCTTCCCCGACCCCCAGAACTCCCGAGCACGACTCCCCGCCTCCCACTCATCAGTAACAACGCCGAATGCGTCCCCAGACTCGCAGAATCGTGTCTAGAATAGCGACCAGCCTGTGGCCGCCGTCGGGTCATGGCAGCCCGACAAACCGGCTAGCCACGCGCTTACTTGGCCAGACAAGTGCCCTCTCAATGCACGTGTAGCGACGCTGGTGCGGCTAGCAAAGCATCCGAAAGGTACTGCAGCGAACGAAGATGGATCTTACAACAGCCAACAGCCGCCGCCGGGGGAAATCGCGCAATCGCTCTCCTCAAATCGTCGATCCCGCACGGCGGCAGGCTCGCCCAATCCTTCGAATCGCTCGGCAACTGCAAATCGTTGCAAGTTGCAAGAGCGAGCGGTCCAAATATGGGACCGTTCGCGGCGCGTGTCGTCGGCGAGCTCGAAAGGTTGGATCCGATGCTCCTCAGCGAGCGCCTCTGCGATTCCACGGGCCCCGGTAAAACGATGGGCAGCCAAGGCCCCGTCCAGGAAAGCATCCCTGACCCAGGACTTTCAGGCTTCCTCTTTGCTGGCCAAAAGCACGGCCTCCATTTCCTGGGCCAAGGACAGAGCTCGCTCAATCAAATTGGGCGTAGACGGATCACCTATCACATCCACTCCAGACCTGAAAAATCTTGCCGTCAGCCCGTCGAGGTGCGCGAAGACCCAGTCGAGCCTCTAGATCCTGCCGAGGAAGGCCTCGGTGTCCATCAGAACCTTGGCAACGCGCTGCAACCGCCTTGGCTGCTCGTCCAAGTCCGCGTCAAGGTTGGGAGTGTACGGCCCCAGCACGATGTGAGCACTTCGCAGATGCCTGGCCCACCTGGCCGCTGCGCTCCACGCTGCGTCCTCGCGCGAGGGTCGAGGCGGTCGATGCTGTGGGACTGCGCGGAACTTCTTCCAACGCACTTGATGCTCTCCAGCTCGGCCTTCGTACCCGTGGCGAAGGGGTCCAACGGCGTCATATCGGTCCAGGGGCTCAGCCTCGATACCCTGAATCGTTAAGTCCCAGAAACTTGCCATATGATCTGCTGTCGTGGCACGTTGAATATCATCGTGCTACATCTTCCAATCTCGTGGGGGCCGACCACAACCAGGCTTGGCAATCACAGGAAGAGGCCTTGGTTGATTTGCAACTTGGCACCACAGGACTGCGTCTTCAGCGCGAACTTGCATCAGCACAGGCTTATGCGGCCAGAGCTTCGCAGCGTCCACAACTTCAATCATGCCAAAACGGATGGCGAACCCCTCAGACATAATGAAGTAATCAATCGTCGTTCCTGGTATACTCTGAAAACGTGTGGGCGCAGACGGCGCCGCCAGTACTCCTCCTATGGATGTCGCCCACGGCTGCGTCAGAGCGCGGTCCATATTGTAGCCAGCTGCAACAATCCACTCATAACTGGGCGCTCGCAATCTATGCAGATGCTGAGCCAACGTCGTGAGCAGTGTCATATTCTTCTGTCCCATGTCTTCGCTGGCGTGGCGATAGGCCGACGCAGCCACGAAGCCTCCTTCGAACCGAGTGTGCACTAGCGCCGCCGAAATTCTCTCGTCCAGCAGCACTCCTTTGGCGTCGGCCAGCAATGGTCCAGCCGTCATCTGCACTCTCTTAGGCGCAATCACTGCCGCGCCACCACTTGTGTCGCGCCCGTGTCCAGTGCTTTGGGCTGGGGCCCGCGCGCCGTGGTAGCCGACCGCACTCATGCGGCCTCGAAATGTTCCCATCTTCTCTGCCGTGACGCGATGCTCCCGCACGCGCATAATAGGCTGCTCATTTCCCACAGGAGCATCAACCTCGAACGTCCCAGCAAGCGGGTTGAACGAAGTAGTGTTGATAGTAGCAAGGCGCGTCATGTTGCCGAGTCAGAAGAACAATCAAGCATACCTACCACATCAACGCCAACAGCCAACTAAGCCGCATTGTGCCGCTTCGCGAACGACGACAACATGGCTCTTATCCTCATGGCTGCTTCGCGCAATTCACCTTCATCAACTGGCACCTGCTGCTCGACCGAACGGAGGAACTCTCGCAGTACCTCTGGGGCGTCAGCCTCCGACGGGATGGCTTGCTCCCAGCACTGCCAGTGCTCGGCCGTCCCAGCTGCAGCAGCCTGAGCGGCCTGCTCGGCCTCCTGCTGCTGCTGCTGCCGCTGCCTCGCCTCTTCGACGGCGCGGCGTTGCTGAGCGCTGAGCAGTTCCTCCGCCACCTTCGCCTCAGCCAAGCACTCGAACAGCTTCTGCGCCAAAGCCCGGTCGCCACCGAAGCCCTCGAGCATGTCGCCACACTTCTCGACCGTGAGGTTGCTGGCAATGAGCTGCTTGAGCCCCTCTGCGCCGTCGTCAGTGGGCTTCTCCGGGGCCCGTGGCATGCCGGCCACCATTTGACGCCGCTCGGCCTCCATCTCCGTGGTCTCCGTGACTGTGGCCTGAAGCTCCTTGGCCGCGTCCTCCACAGCCTTCCGCGCCTCTGCCACCACCTGCTTGAGCTCCTTGACCACTTCGGTCTGGCGCTCCCGCTTCTGGACCAACTTCGTGTGCTGAAAGGACATCTCTTTCAGCCGCGTGTCCAAAGACTTGCCTCAAATGGTCTGGCCACGCAAGGTGGTCTGCCGTGCTCGCAACTTCTCCCGCAACTCATCGAACTCTGGGCTGGCCAGGCCTGCAACCTTCTGCAACTTCTGACTGCCCCGAGCTCCTTGCGTACATCTGCGTCGCTGTCCTTGCCCGCGTCGACGTCCATAGCGTCGCCATCGAGCTTTGTTGCGACCTCCTTCTTCCGTAGCTGTGCAGCTTCCTCGCGCAACCTCTTGAGCTCGGCACTGAGCTTGGGGTCGGGCTGCATTGGGGCCTTGGGCGCCGACACAGAGGGAATAGCTGGCTGCTTGATCCCTGCAAATGCTGACGCCTTGGGCTGCTTACGTAGCGAACAGTGATCAAGATCCGCTCTGTTCCACCACCGATCGACAATCAGATGCGACCAGCAGTGCTTGCAATACCATGGCTTCGTCCACGCCTGGCATCTCAGCTTGCGTCCCGAAGGCGGCGAACCGCCTTGAGAAACATGAGAGGGCGCCATGGGTTTTCCGTACACGTATGTGGAAAAGTATTCGTGCTGTGCTCAGGCGGGAAACCCGCGCACAGTACACAGTATGCAGCTGCGCTTCCAGGCCTGGGCAGGCCGCATGAGAGACACGAGAGCGGTCGGGGGCCGCGACTCCCCCGCGCCAGAGCGTCAGGTCCTGAGCGAAACACCACGGACTTGAGCCAACATGGCTACGGAAGAGGGCGAGAGGGAGGATGGACGGAAAGATGGAGAGAAGCTAAATGGGATAATTAGCGGGATAATCACAGTATAACATAAACTTTTCCGTCGCCGGGGGCGCCTGTCCCAAGGCGACTGGGAACTTTCTACTCTGACGTGCCACTGTGTGGGTCTAAACTTTCCAGCTTCCCTGGAACACATTTATGTTGTACCGTTTTACGCCCGTTACGGGAAGGAGGGCGGGAGAAGGGAGAGAGGGAGAGGAACACGTGAAGGAGAGAGGGAGGACGAAAGGGGAGAGGGAGGAGCGATTGGGGGGGAGGCGGGAAGCGCCGGGCGGGCTGGGCGGTCGCGCCTCGTCTCCGGCCCCGAGCAGGGCGGCCACGCGCGCCGCCGCGAAGCGGATGCGGAGGATGTCCTTGGCCTGCAGCTCGCCTCTTGAAGGCGCTTCGCGGGCCCCCGCGAGGAGGATGCGCCCCACCCCCTCCTCCTCCTCCTCCTCCTCCTCCTCCTCCCCCTCCTCCTCCGCTCCTCCCCCTCCTCCTTTTCCTCCTCCTCCTCCTCCTCCTACCCCCTCGTCATCTCTCCCCCTGCTCCTCTTCTTCTTCATATTATTTGTTCCTCCTCCTCCTCCTCCTCCTCCTCCTATTCACTTGCGCTGCCCTGACTGCATTACTCATGGCTGCAACCTCCTCCTCCTCCTCCTCCTCCTCCTCCTCCTCTTCCCCAGATCCCCTCTCCGCCTGAGCAACTTGCGACCGAAAGTTTTGGCCAGTCTCCGCATTCTGGGGACATTACCAAGGCCCCAACCATTCGAACACGACTGGGAATGAACTGCCAGTGCCAAGGGGGGTCCCACCTCTGGTGATCCCAAATCCCATCAGCCCTTTGGGCGTGAGTGGTTTAGCGAGCTCTCTCTGTTCTCAACCCCCCTTCTTCCCCTTCGGGGAGGGGTTTACCCCTCCCCCTACCCCCTCCCCCTGGACCTGGACAGGGAGTCCGGGGCGTAGTCAGGGGGGTCTTTTTTGACTCCTGGGAGGGCCAAACAACGACGACCCTCACGAGGATTCTGGCCCCGACGGGGGGATCCAGTTTGGCCCCTCTGCTCTTCTTTAAAGCCAGCATCATTGGTTTTACTAGGGTTTTGGCCCCATTTTGGCGTCCTGAGGGGTCCGCGCTCATCTTCCTTCATAGCAAAATCATTGCTTTTACGAAGGTTTTGGGCTCATTTTGTTCTTTTCAGGGGGCAGCTCTCATTGGCGCTTCGGAGGAGGTCGCAAGAGGCCCCAAGATGGCCTCCAGAGGCTCCCAGGAGGCTCCCAAGAGGCCTCCCAGAGGCCCCCCAGAGGCCCCCCAGCGGTCCCAAGAGGCCCCCAAGAGGCCCCCAAGAGGCCCCCAAGAGGCCTCAAGAGGCCCCAAGAGGCCCCCAAGAGGCCCCCAAGAGGCCCCCAAGAGGCCCCCAAGAGGCCCCAAGAGGCTCCAAGAGTCCCCCAAGAGGCCCCACGAGGAGCCCGAACGACTCACACCAGGACGAGGGGCCCGAACGACTCACACCACGAAAAGCCCGAACGACTCACACCAGAAGGAGGGGCCCGAACGACTCACACCAGGACGAGGCGCCCGAACGACTCACACCACGAGGAGCCCGAACGACTCACACCACGACGAGGGCCCCGAACGACTCACACCACGAGGAGCCCGAACGAGTCACACCAGAAGGAGGGGCCCGAACGACTCACACCAGGACGAGGGGCCCGAACAACTCACACCACGAGAAGCCCGAACGACTCACACCAAGACGAAGAGCCCGAACGACTCACACCACGAAGAGCCCGAACGACTCACACCAGGAAGAAGGGCCCGAACGATTCACACCAGGACGAGAAACCCCAAACGACTCAAACCACGAGGAGCGCTTTCTCTCCCTCCTCCTCCGCCTCGTCCTTCTCCCGCTCCCACCACAAGGAGGATGTACAAGGAGGCGTGAGGAAGGAGGAACAGGGGAGATATGCGGGGGCAGGCGGAAACACGCCTGAAAAACACGACTGTCGGCATGCTTCGCAAGAGTTGCTGTTTTGAGATGGGCTGGTGGGGATACGCGAAGCGTGAAGAATTTTTAAACAATTACCTCGTCGAAGGCCGGGGCCGCCTCCTCCTCCATCTCCTCCCCCCTCCTCCTCCTCCTTCTCCTCCTCCTCCTCCTGTTCTTCCTTCCGCCTCCCTCCTCCTCCTCCTCATCCTCCTCGTCCTCCTCCTCGTCCTTCTCCTCCTCCTCCTCCTCCTCCTCCTCCTCCTCCTCCGTCCTCCTCCTCGTCCTCCTCCTCCTCCTCATCCTCCTCACCCTCGTCCTCCTCCTCCTCGTCGTCCTCCTCCTCCGCTCTCCTCCTCCTCCTCCTCCGCCTCCTCCTCCTCCTCCTCCTCCTCCTCCTCTTCCTCATCCTCCTCCCTCCTCTTTCTCCTCCTCCTCCTCCTGCTCCTCCTCCTCCTCCGCCTTCTCTCCCTCCCCATTTCCCCGTGGATTCGCGGTGCGTTCCTGGTGTTTTCCCTTTTCCTGCTGGATCGAAAAGAAGACACTCTGGGCGTTTGGGGTCGCTATTGGCCACCGGAAGCCCCCAAGGATCTCTGGAGGCCTCTAGGGACCTCCGGGAGCGCCTTCAACCTCGTTTCGTTTCGCGTGGCGGACAGAGCTACATGAAGCTTGCAACATGTGACAAGTGCTGCCCAAAGACAGCATGCATCGAGAACACAGATGATAGAGCAGGCAACGGCGAGCGCGCGACAACGGGGAGGAAGGAGGAGAAACAGGGTGAAACTCCTCCTTCTCCTCAGGACCCCTCCCTCCTCCATCCTGCCTGTCTGCTCCTTTCTGCTTCCGTTCATCCTCCCTCCCTCCTCTCCCAGGCCCTGCCAGAACCCTCCTGGGGAGCAGAGGGCGTGGGGGCTGCGCGCAGACAGCCACACGGAAGAAGCCCCAGCTGGCCGCTGCGAGCCCCCCCCGCGGCCTGAACGCCCGGAGGCGGCGCCAGGGTGTCGAGACCGCCCCCCCGCTGCCGTTTGGGGGCCTGTCGAGGCCAGCGGTGACTACCTCCAGGTTGGATGCTCATTCTGGGGACCTTCCTGGAGCCACTCGCTCCACTCATGCGTCGATGCTGCCTCGAACGTCCGTCGACCTGAGTCGAACAGATCCGTTCTGGGCCCACAGGAATGTCCTCCCAAACGGACATCTAATCCAAAGGCTGCCTGTGAACAACCCCAAATCGTGCCGTCCTCTCCACGTCTGGACGCCCGAAAGGAATACGGACAAAAAGGGTACGATGCCCAACAACCAGGGTTGTCCCACACCGACAGCGGTCGCTGTTGGGCAGGCGGTCTTCTGTCTCAAATGGACAAGGCCCGCGGCTGCACCGACAGCAAATCCTGTTCAAGACGAACAAGATCTGCTGTCTATCTTCGTACCCAATCTTGCCGTACCCATTTTTGATCGTGCCGACCGCTCCTCTCCACTCCTCCTCCTCTGGCGCCATCTCGCCTCGCATGCGCTTGAGGCCGGCGGAGAGCTCCTGGCAACCGCGCGAGACGGACCCGTATCCCTTGCCAGTGGGAACAAAAACGAAGGCAAGACCGGGGCAACAAATCGGATTGGGATGCATCAGAAATCTCAGAGATCCAGCGCTTCGCGGGGATGTGTCGGGCGCCGCGTCCTTCTCAGAGCGTTCGGGATCGCTCTGAGAGCGCCCGGGACCGCTCTGGAGCGACTCATCGGGTTCCTGGGCCTGCCTGTGAGGGGCCAGGGGCAGCGGTGTCGCTGTTCCATGGTCCGCGGCCCCCCCCCTTGCGGGGGCCATCGGGCTGGGAGGCCAGGGTTTCAGCATCTGTGCACTCTGCTAGCGGAGGGAAGACATATTTGGGGCTGACCTGAACATCGTTCGCGAACGTTTGCACCCGAACCGTTTACGAAGCGTCTGTTTTGAATACCTATGTTTTCCCTCAGCCGAGCGGCCGTGGACAACGAACGTTTGTGCCCCAAACGTTACGAACCGTTCGTTTTGAAGATGTGTCTCCCCTCAACCGAATGGCTGTGGACAAGGCCCTTGGGGGCCTTGGCGTTCGCGAACAGGTGCTTCTGAATCGTTGATTTGAGCAGTTTACTAGCGTCCGAACACGAACAACAACTTTTCACCCTTCCGCACACAGGAGGCAAATCTAGAGAACGAACAACTGCATGCACAGAAGCTTTTGGAGTTCCGCGCGGATTTCTTGGATCGGCGCCTGGACACCCCACCCTGGCGGGCAAAGCGCGCCAGGGGCGGTGCCAGAGGCGCGGCCAGCGGTGCCCAGGCGCCGACTTCTCCTCGATCCACCTCGATCCTTATCCTCCTCCTCCTCCTCCTCCTCCTCCTCCTCCTCCTCCCTCCTCCCTCCTCCCTCCTCGTCCTCCTCCTCCTCCTCGTCGAAGGCCGGGGCCGCCCCCTCCTCCATCTCCTCCCCCCTGTCCTCCTCCTCCTCCTCCTCCTCCTCCTCCTCTCCTCCTCCAGGATTTGTTTTCGAGGGCGGTTTTCCCCGACCCCTCGGCCTGGTTCAAGCGCAAAGCGCCCGACCCGTCCTCCTGCTACATGCATCGTCTCAACTGGCCTGCCGACAGGCTTACGTTGGGGACTGGAATGCGCGTACATACGGACGGATCGGCTTTTGAGGGCCGCCTTCGGTCCCTGGGAGTGGCGGGATGGGCGGTGGTCGTCACGGACGGGGAGGGGGTCGTCTTGTCCTGTATTTGGGGGGTGGTGCCCTTAGCTGAGGCACCCCTCCAAGCAGCCCGGGACGGCGAAGATTATGCTGTCCTCCAGCTCTGTCTCAATGCCACCCTCTTCCCCGGAGTCCGCCTCAATATTGATTGCGCGGGCACCGTGGATTGTGCTCGGGACCCCAGGTCCGCTGCAGGCCCCGATAATGCGCGGGCCCACTGGTGGGCCCAGGTGCACGACAAACTTGACGATTGCTCTGTCTGGAAAGTCCCGTCCCATTGTACAGAGACGGACGTAATCGAAGGCCGCCTGACCCGAGCGCAGTGGCTCGGCAACAAAGCAGCGGATGAGTATGCGCGTCGCGGGGCAGAGCTGTATCGCAGTGGCCCCGCCGATCGTCTCGTCATCATCGGCTGTCATGAGATTGTCAAGCAGGTGGCTAGGTACTCGGCCCGTCAGGAGGCCATGATAGCGGATGCTGGGGTGTATGACCATGTCCCGCTCGATTGGCTCCGACATGTCGACCTCGGCACATTTGAATTGCCGCCAAACGTCCTTGGGGATGATGGCGGTGGTGTGGGTGGGGCGGATGTCGTCCGTCGTCGTCGGAGGG